ATTGTAAAATTGATTTTTTATACGTTGCACACCGTGTGAAAAATCAGTCGTAATAACATCAACGTTCTTACCTCGAGGGTGAGCTACTAGATATGTTTAAATCGGTTTAATTAAAATTAAGGTTAGAATTAGGGTTAGGTTGATGTTGGTATAAGAAGAGGAAGTATAGGTAAAGTTGCCTTCCCGACATTTTTAATTAGTACCCCAAGACAGGATTAGACTGCTGTTTTTTGTCTTTTTACTTCTTCGGGCTGATCCGTGTAAACAAGCAATTCCGGTTGGTTGATTTACACAAAATAGTCACGTGGGTACATGGCTTTAGACGACCCCCAATTTTGGTAATGTGCCCGACTGAACTATAGCATAAAATTCCGCAACTTCAGGACTATGATTATTTTTGTTTTATTAATGATTTTGAATTTTCCGAAAGAAACACAAGACAAAATCATATAATTTAAGGATGATTTCTACACGAAAAAGATGAAAGTTAAGGCCATCAAGTTTAAGACATACATGCGAAATTTTAAGGAGTCTATAATCACAGCGCTAAATGTTAAGACGTGTAAAAGCAAACCCTCAAGCAAAATTTGATCTTTCATGGATTGCAAACGTCGAACCACGCACATTATTAGTAGGAACATAACATAGCTCAATCGATAGATAATTGAGTAAAATAGTTGTTAATAAACAGCACAAAAAAAAAAAAAAAAAGAGGGAACAAAAAAAAAAAAAAAAAAAGTAATAATAATACACAAAAAAAAAGCATAAATACAAAAGATGTGTTGTGGAATTGAATGTTACAAAATTGGGTTCAAATAACATGTATAAAATTCATATACAATAACAGTTTCACAAGTTTTGATCGGTATTAATCATACATTCCAGATCTTTGCGGCATATCTTCTTCTGTTTCCCATCTCACTTGCTCAAATACTTCAGGAATTCTTTGATGCCTTGATCGGTGCCGAGGAAAACGCCCCCTATCATTGGCAACGTTAATGCTAGGAAGACGAAAAGATGTTGAAGTTACACGTTCATTATTTTCGTCTCTTCGCAAACAGGAGTCTTTCTCTTTGTCATTGTTCCATTGCCAATATGGCTTCATCCCCCTACGTCGCTCTGGTTGGTTAAGTATTGATCTATCTCGTCGACAGAAAAGTGATGCAGATGAGGAAGATCCAACGCTGTCCTTTTGAGATATGATATTTTCAATGACAGATTCTATATCACCATTATGTTGCCGAAGAAGGCTGAGGTTTTGCTCCCTGTCCGTAAAACCCATCTCATGAAGGTATTCTAGTTCGCGATCCAAAGTAGAATTTGAATCCTGACTTTCATTATTTGTCAATGGGAAACTACCAGGAAATGGAGGGAGAGAAGTGACCGGCTTTGGCAAAGTAAGCTGAGGGTTGAGAGGTGGTGGTGGGAGACTGAACAACGGAGGAGGTGGTGGTGGGCCTAATGGTGTAGGAGGTGGTGGCGGCACATGAGGAGGAGGCGGTGGTGGCGGCGGAAGCGATATATTGTCGGCAAATCGAGATTGGCGATTTAGTCCCGCGTTAAAACGAGATCTCTGTAATGTATATGATACTGGAGTGATCGGATGATGGTTTCCAGGCAAAAATTGGAATACAGGTGTAGAACCACTAGGAAAGCTACCGGGCATGTCGGAAGGATTCCCATCTTGGTCATGTTGAGAAGCTGAAGTGTCATTTGACGAATTAGTGCTAGCACATTGATTCTTTACTGACTTTAGCATATTCAATACAAATTCGATATACATCGGAGTATTTTCCAAAACCTATTAAACATAAACAAAGTATAAGTATAGTTATGTTACCAGGAAAAAAAAAAGAAGATATTTAAAGTTAATCTTACATCATCTAATACTGAATTCGCCGTGGCGAGCATCTCTGGATTGTCGGCAATAACATTATGGCATTTTTGAATGACTTGTTCGACCTTTGTCGAAAATTCTTTAAACGATAAATTTGGTTGTTCCTGTTGATCCTGTTGTTTTTGTTGATTAGATTTCTGCTTAAGATACTCATGACAAACGGTCGGTTCATGTAGTTCTTGACGTTGCCCCGGTTCTTGTTGCTCCAATGACGGGTGTAACAAACTAGCAACATCAAGAAAATCATGAGTTGTTTCGGATTCAACTTCATCGCTATTCGATGTCTCACTCATTTCTTCATCCTTCTTATCTATCGTGACAACTAGTTCATTTTGAGATATAAATTGACCATCACCGGATTCCATATCAAACTCTTCAATCGCGTCATCTTTTTCATTCTCCTGCTGCACTAAGACAGGTTCTTCACTGATAGTATCAGCCGAACTTTCTGAACTGATTTCCCAGTCGATATTTGGTTGCTCGATTTCGTCTTGAGGCAAGGTTAGTAGAGACGCAGACATTTTGAGGTTACGGAGTTGCAACTTTCACTACTAAAGTTGCAGCTTTTGTAGTATTGACGTAAGTCTTAATATCAGTAGCGGGTATTATAATATGTCGTAGGTTGTAATAGGACGTAACGAACCAAAAAGTATGTACAAGTAATTCAGCGAAGTAAATAAATTTTATAAATTTTAGAAAACGGTAAATTTCCGAGCGGAGCACACCTTCCGAATAGTTGACGTAAGTATGTACGTACGTACATACCAATACCAGATACATATCAGGTACGTATGTACGTATGTATACGTTATGACGTACGTACGTACGTACATGCATACGTACCCCCTGTATAAAATTCAGCTTTCATTAACGTTAAAAAAGGGTCATTTCGATACGCATAATCGATTATCAAACACATAATGTGATCGATTTAAAGGTTTCTCAAACCAAAATGGCTGTATAGAACATGAAAGGCTTACTTTCTTTCTGATTTTTCGGACAAGCACGGGGTTTCTATGTGGTAGTTCAACCAATCAGCAACTATATTGTCAGCACACCTCAATGATCGGATACGTAATCGAGTTACATCTTTTTTCTTCATTGATAAAGGTCATTCAGGTATTACTTTTAATAATTTTTTACATGTCAAACATAGTATACAATGAATTCTCAACAAATTTCTTACCGATATGAAAGATAATCACTTAATTTTTAACGCCTAACAAATACAAAATACTGAAATAGTCGATACCTTGATATGAACGTAATAAATATAACCGTAATGATAAATATTATGGGCTTTATAATTTATCGCTATATCGCCACCCGGCCGAAAATCAAAATTCCGAAAATCTGTCGGGGTTTCAATATTCAAATCTCGCCTATGATTAGTAATATAGATAATCTATAGATTACTAATCATAGGCGGGGCTTGAATATTGAAACCCCAATATCACACGGAACGACAAATAAGTCTCAGGGGAGAAGCTATACAGAGCACAAAATTCTACTGTAAAATACCGGAGCTTCGGTAAATCAAGAAAAAATTCCGGCACAATTTTTTGATAATCGGAAATTCAAAAATTTTAACACATTCTTATATCATGACTAATTGTTACTATCGTTACTACCTCCGGCTATAGATTCTAAATTCCGTTTAATAAAAAGATCACCGGAAAAATATCAGGACACGTCATGCCACAATTTTGTGCACTGAATAGATTAGATTAGTGGGTCCACCGAAATTCAGAAAATCGGCCCGAATTTGGGTCAGAATAGGCCGGAATTGATAATTTTTTCCTAAAACCACCAAAAAGTTTACTAATAAAGTGGCAGCCCATGCTAAGTAAAGCGGCCCAAATGATAATTTTGCTATAATATAGTTGGCCAGTATTATTGCTTAAGGCCACCTGGCTCCGGCCTATTCCTGACCCCAAATTCGGCCGATTTGCTGAATTTTGGTGGATCCACTAATCTACCCAGCGATACATCGCTATGGCGATAAAAAAATAAAATTCTTTTTAATTAGCTATTTATGAAGACCGGCCCGAACTGGTCTCAGGACCGGGGACCGGTTAAAAAGACCGATCCTTATTCAGTCTTTCCAGGACTGATCCATCCCTATGCTAATGGTTTCATAAATTGATTCTTTGCTGTTGCAAAAAAAAGATTTATTGCAAAAAAGATTAATTGGTAAAATCATTAAAAGAAGAAGACTGCGAAATCGAAGTTGAAGCTTCGGCAGCTGGTTGAATAGATATTTTTTTAAGGTGTCTTGAAAAATATATGTAGAGTTTTGGAACATGATTTTATCTTTTATACGTTAAAACCGGTTTTAGGGTACTCTCAAGCATCTAAATCAATAGGTCTGAGTTCAATTTTTAATTAGTGAAAAATAAATTATTTGGTCAAGCGAGTTCATTATCGCGATGAAAAAAAAAGATGGACAGAAACCATCTTTTTTTAATCATAAAGTTGAGCTGATTGGCTAAAATTTAATATCCGCGTTTCGCAACGTGAATCTTCGATAAAATTACCGTAAGGTTTACTTCAATTAATCTTAGTACTTGTGTACGATATTAAGATTCGCAAGAAAAAAAATTTTTTATTTGTTGTTGAAACGCAACCTTCGCTAATGATTGATTCTGTTTCTGTTGCAATAAAAGTTTTGAATTGGCAAATTTTAAGGTGTTTTAGGTGGCATAACGCAGATCACGAAAAATAGAAAAAGTATATGTTCAAGCATTTAATTCTATAAATATCGTGATGCTTGAACGTCATCATGTTCATTATTTAATTAATTGATTGAGATACTTGAGAACACCCTAAGTCGCGTTTCAGAAAAATAAAACTATTCACCCAGGTCATAATACCGTATTTCGCGGTCTAAAGTACCCCCCCCCCCCGTGTATGAATTTTTATCGGCTCATGCGGATATTTCAATGGTGCATATCGGGTGCATAATGCATCATTTCACTATCTTTCCGGTAATTGTGTCGTTATAACAATTACATTAATAACACTTTAACAATTATCTTGAGTATATTGGATACGTATTATCGTTATTATAATAAAATAGACTTTGATTTGTAACGTTTGACAAGGTTATTTATATATTAAAACCTGATATGCACCATAAAAATTCATACATGGGGGGGTACTTTAGACCGCGAAATACGGTAACAACTTACAAGTGTAGAAACTTATTAGAAAAATTTGTAATAATAAGTTGCATGTTCTTTATTCTTATCATTCAGTAATTAATTGAATTCTATCCCTTAAACCTTCAATTTAGGGTGTTCTCAAGCATCTCAATCAATTAATTAAATAATGAACATGATGACGCTCAAGCATCACGATCAATGACGATATTTATAGAATTAAATGCTTGATACCTTTTTTTTATTTTTCGTGATCTTCGTTATGCAACTAAAACACCTTAAAAAAATTTCTACTCAACTAGCTGCCGAAACTTTAACTTCGGTTGCGTCGACTTCTTTTAATGATTTTACCAATTCAAAACTTTTATTGTAACAGCAACAGAATCAATCATTAGCAAACATTGCTTTACAACAACAAATAAAAAAAAAATTTTTTTTTCTTGCGAATCTTAATATTTAAATTTTATTGAACGAAAAATGGAATAGCAGAATTCATTATGGTTTGATTAAATGTTTAAAAGATGGTGTATTTATTTTACGTCAAGGTATCGATTATTTATTTTAAAGCTTCGAGAATTAAAAATAAAGTGGTAATTTTTTCATATCGGTTAGAAATTTGTTGAAAATTCATTGTTTATTATGGGTGCTCCAGGGACACGGAATTTTATGTGATTTAGGATGCTCTCAAGCATCTCTCTCAGTGTAATTAGCTAGCTATAGAGATCGTGCACAAGTACTACGATTAATTG